CACAGCCAAAGGAAAACAGAAGAGCTCAAACACAATATGTTAGGTTCAATGGTCAGCCCAATAAAATATCATCCAAACCAAAAGAAAACAAACCAAACCCAAACCGGGTTACAATCCGACTCAAAACACAAGAAAGAAAATCAAACCGTGGTGGGGTTGCCTCCCCACAAGCGCTTCTTTACCGTCGTATTAGCTGGACGCCCATGGTGGATACTCAGGGCGGTGCAGGAACAGGTGCCTCCAAGAGCGGATCCACGTCTCTCTTGAGGTACAGCTTGAGGTTGTGGCCGTGCACTCGACGGATGCGACCACCCTCATCAGTCAGCTCGACCTGCCCATCTGGCAAGATGCAGGAGAGCGAGTACCCAGACGGCCAGGGTGGTCGTGGTGCAGGAGGTGGGACCAGCTCATAGTGGTCTCCACGCTTCTTCCGTGCAGGCTTAGCAACCTGCGGCTTCGGCCGCCACTCCTCCTTGAGCTTTTTGTTTGGAGGCGAGGCTGGATGGAGTGGCGGCGAAGGAATGATAGGAGGTTCCTGCAAAATAGGAGGTGCAGAAGGGTACACGACAGGCTCGTGTACCTGATCAGACATAGCATGCACAGGCGTGACAGCAATCATAGCACAGTGATCAAACTCAGTCACAGAAAAAGTAGCCTGTTCATTCCCAGCACGCAAGATCAGCTTACCATCATGCACATCAATAAGTGCCTTGGCGGTGGCAAGAAATGGCCTACCTAGAATCAAAGGCACATCCACATCCTCATGCACATCAAGAATAACAAAATCAACAGGATATGTGAATGTACCTACTTTAACAAGCAGATCCTCAATGATACCCTTAGGATGCACGATAGAACGATCAGCTAATTGAATGCTCATCCTAGTAGGGCTAAGTTCACCTAGGTCTAGCATTTTACACAACTTATATGGCATGACGTTAATGCTAGCGCCTAGGTCCGCCAAGGACTTTCCTACATGCATGCTGCCAATAGTAAGAGGGATAGTAAAACTCCCTGGATCCTTGCGCTTCTCGGGCAGCTTGTTCTGCAGGATAGCAGAACACTCCTCACTGAGCATCACTGTCGAAAGATCCCCAAGTTTCTTCTTGTTGGTGCAGATATCTTTCATGAACTTGGCATACTTGGGCATCTTTGACAGTGCCTCCATGAACGGTATGCTGATGTTGAGTTGCTTCAACATTGCCATGAACTTGGCAAACTCAGTCTCCAGCTTGTCCTTGTGTAGGCGAGTGGGGAAGGGAAGCTGGGGTACATGCTCCTTAACCACTGGTTGTGGCTTGGGAGCAGGGGCTTCCTTCTCCACCCGCACTTCTGCATCGTCGGCTGGAAGTGCTGAAGCAGGTAGTGGTTCCTCCTGTCTGGCCGGGACAGGATCAGCAGATATGACCTTACTGCTCCTGGTAAAAATGGCATCCAGCTGCTGATGCTGGTGAGGATCTCGAGGATTAGGAACAGTGGTGGCAGGCAGAGTCCCCGGTGCCCTGGTAGTGTTCTGGCGGGCCAAGATGCCCACCTGGGTCTGCAAATCCTGCAAAATGGCACCCTGGTTCCTCTGACCTGCCTCCAGTGAGGCTACACTCTGGTCCAACCTCGTGATAGTCGCCTGAGTGCTCGTCATGAATGAAGCTAGAATGTTTTCCAGCTTCGTCATCCTGTCATTTGGGGCTGGAGCTGCTGCTGGCTCGGCAAACTGGCGCTGGGGCTGCTGGAATGGCTGCCCCTGCCTAGGCTGGTAGGGCTGCTGTGGGTCTGGCCCCTGGCGAGCCTGGAAGGGCTGCCTCTGCTGAAAACCACCTGCTGGTGCTGGGAAACCAGGTGGTTTAGTGGTGTTGCTGCTCCAGGCGAAGTTGGGATGCTGGCGCCACCCCTCATTATATGTGCTGCTGTATGGATCGAGGCGCCTCGCATTGGCGATGAAGGCCAACTGCTCTTGGGGTGTGGTAGACTCCCTCATAGCCTGGCAGTCCTCCACTAAGCGATTGGAGCTCTCACACCACTGACACTGAGCAACTGGAGGTGTAGCCAAACCTCTGCCCGGAATCAGACTGTTGGGCTGCTTCAATGTCTGCACTAGCTCAGCTACCTGCTGCTCGAGCCCGGATCTGGTCTCCATGGAGTGCATACCATGGTCCCTGGACTGTCTGCCTCGGCTACCCTGTCCCCAAGAATGATCTCTGGCAGCCAAAGTACTGATCATCTGGTTCAGCTCGGGTGGAGTCTTGGTAAGAATATCCCCTCCTGGGCATAAAGACTCAATCACCCTCTGGCTATCTGGGGAGAGAGCGCTGTAGAAGTTCCCCACAGTGAAAGCATCACTAAAGCCATGGTGGGGGCACTGCCAGAAGTAGCCCATGTACCGCTCCCAAGCATCACGGAGTGACTCATCTGGCTCCTGGCGGAAGTGAGTGATCTCCCGCTGAATCTCTGTAGTCTTCGATGCCGGATAGTACCTGTGCACGAACTTGTCCGCCAGATCGTCCCAAGAGGTGATGGACAATGGGGGCTGGGTCTCCAACCACCTCTTAGCATTCCCCGCCAGAGAATGGGGGAAGAGATGAAGGCGGATCGCATCATCGGGAACACCGCTCAGCTTGAACCCGTTTGTCAGCTGCAGAAAACGGGAAAGATGCACCCTGGCCTCCTCATCCTTCAAGCCATGAAACTGGATCGAGGATGTGATGAGCTGAATCCAGCATGGTTTGATCTCGAAGTTGTTTGCTGGGATCGGCGGGTAGAGGATGACCGGGCGGATGTCAGCAATCCGAGGAGTGTAGTAGTACTCCAAGGTGGGACCCGGCTGCGGTGGATGATGAGCTCCATGATCCTGGGGTATGGGATTGTTCCCCAGGACCTGATTCACCGGGGGAACCTGCTGTGGATTCCCCTGGTGTTGGTTGTAGTCTCCGTCCATCCCGTGCTCTTCTTCAGAATCGCTGCTCAGGTGGCCGTCTATGCGCTCTTCCGTAGCCAGTCTAGCTCGCTGTTGTCTCCTGAGCTGGCAACTAACCTGGTTTTCATTTGTGTTTTACAGTCACGACTATATCGTGGAAACTCCAAAGGGCAAGCTTAGCCATTGCCAAATATTGTCATTGAAGCGTAAAAGTTGGGTTCATAGTGACTCGACTCTACTGTCACTCCAGGAATTGGCCAAGTGAAACCACTTCCTAAAGCGTAGTATAGCGGGTTTGGGTTTAATTATCAACCCGGGTCCTAGATGTGATGACTACTCAGTGAATTCTTGTTATCTAGCAATGAAACTGGAATGCAAGTCTAACTAACAAACTAACAAAGCAAGTAAACTGTTGTATTCAGGTTAAAGAGGTCACCCGGATATGGTTCCCCCTAGACTGCAGTTAAGCCGGATTGTAATTACCAAGTTCAGTTTCTATGAAGATTATACTGCGGAAGGTTCTTAAACAGCCTGAAGTCTCGACTAAAGGTCTTCAGACCCTCTCAATCTGACTCTCTAGCGGGCGACTAACCTCCACCGGAGTCGACAGAATGACTCCCTAAGAACAAAACCTCCACTACCGGAGTAAATCCGGTACAGTAGTGAGTTGGCTCCTCGACTAAAGTCACCAACTCCCTACCTTCAATCAAGGATACTCTATTAACCTAGGCAGATATTCTCATTCTAGGTTAAAGCAGAAACAACAGGAATTTGATCAGGATTCAAGTCATTCAATCATCAAAACCTCAATCGAATATAATCAATCACAGAATCAGTACTTGGGTTCATACAATCAAAGCCTAACATACAAATCTAGGGTTCTCCATACCCAGATGAATGGGAGAACTACTCCATAGAGAAGAAAGCAAAAGCAGAATCAGACACGGAATTCATACTGCGAAGGATGGATTCCTGCTTCTGGACGTTGATCGGCACTTCTCCAAGCTCAAGCTGGCCTCCAATGGTGTTGAAGATCAATCTAGGGCACTTGGGAACTCTTGCTCGTCACTTTCTCTCTCTAGGAACTGATCTCTCTCTCAAAAACTCGAATCCCCCTTGAATTGTGGCTGAAACTTTGCTTAAAAGCATCAGTGGCCAAAGCACGGTCGAGGGCACGGCCGTGCTTTGCCTGACTCCGCCCGTGCCTCGGCCAGGGCTTAATTACACGGCCAGCAAGTGGGTTAAACACGGCCGTGCTTCGCAATGTACACGGCCGTGCTTTGGTGGAACACGGCCGTGCTTCGGTGCCCGTGTTTGCAACTGAATTGGCCAACCCGAATTTGCTCTCGGCATAAAAAGCACGGCCAGCAGTACACGGCCGTGTAATGCCTTGGGTCTGCCCGTGTTTTGGCTCCAGCTCACCGAAATGACTTCCGAATGCCCCGAAACTCGCGGTTAGCCTTCCCTTTGACGCCTGGGACCTGAAACATGACAAAATAGCACAACCCGGCGTAAAATAGGCCAAAACACACGACTATGCCCCTCAAACGGATAAGAACTAGGGGCGCAAACATGTGCATTTACATCGTTATCACATAGCCAAGTAATTTTAGTATACGGGCAATTCCTAAATGACCAAGAAGAACGTAAGGAGGTGGTGAAGAGAATTGTCTTCTCATGGAGCTATGTAGTAAGTATTATCTTCACTACTTAGATCCTATTTATGTTGAAAATGTCTAATTTGATATTGTTGTCTCTTCTAAATAGCAACATGTCGTCGCTAATGCTATAAAAAAGCAACCCATGGACAAGGCGAGAGTCTCGGCGTATATTTCTATGCTCAAGAATAATCCATTGCTGAAACGAGAAAACTTGGAAAGATGTGATTATGTAAGGGTCTTCAATGTTTCTATATTTTTTTGACTTTCCTTGATATTTGTCTGGGTTTATAGGATATTTTATTCTCCTTTATCGGATATTATTCTGGGTTGTTAGGATATTAGACAATGATTAACTCATTAACTGTATTGTGTTTCAGATATTCTTTCCAATGTATCGAGATGATCACTACCGAGTGTAAGTCGCTGACATGAAGAATAGGAAGACTTTCCTACTGGAAAGCCAAAAGCCCACTGCCCGAGTGGCTAAGGAGGATCATGGACCAGTGGGGAAAGTGATTTTTGAGTATGTGACAGAGTTCTTCAAAGAGCAGGGGTCGATTGTAAATTGGATTAGTGGGAATTCAGCATTGCTGACGTTCCTCAGCAATTTGGCAACGATGATTGCGGTGTATTCGCTTGCCTTTACATGGAGCTATGGGCGGGTCACCTTCCGGTGGAATGTAAAAACAGTTGGCAGAAGCAGGAATATGTGGAGGAACAACGAACACGGATTGCAGCATAACCTCCGGTTATGGAACTATAACGGCCACAAGGATGCAATAATTCAAGAAGCAAAAGATTGGAGTATGCAGAAAGAGAAAGGGAAAGGGAAAAAGAAGAGAAATTGATTTTTGATTTGTTTAGGTGTGCTGTATAGTTTATAAAAGGGTTATAGATATAATATGTCCCTCTACTATGTAGTTTTATCAAACATGCCCCTAGACTATTTTTTATATCAAACATGCCCTTTTACTTTGGAAAAATGATCAAACATGCCCTTCTGTTAAAATTTCCATTAAAAAAATTGTCAACCATGGTTGAACCGAGATGTAGATGACCCGACATCGGCAAATGAGAGCGAAAATGTCAGTTTTGTTCCCCATTTTATTTTTCTAGGTCTCATTAAAGTTAAATTATTAGAGGTGTTTGGCTCTACAAAAGAACCCAAAAAATTTTAAAGTGAAATTACCAAGGATATTTTAGACATTTGTGTCGCCCAAACCAAGGTACGACCATGATTGACTTTTTTGGATGAAAATATTAACAGAAGGGCATGTTTGATCATTTTTCTAAAGTACAAGGGCATGTTTGATGTAAAAAATAGTAGAGGGGCATGTTTGATAAAACGACATAGTAGAGGGGCATATTATACATATAACCCTTTATAAAACTTAACTTAGGGTTGGTTCATATTTAGGAATGGATGATGGTTTGCATTAAGATGGAGGATATTTTGGTAGATATTGACATGTGATTCCTTGTTATGGATACTTTTCTGGGCAAACTTGATAAGTACTGTAATATGTACAGATATTAGTTTAGGCTTCCTAGATATTAATCTTAGCAGCAGCAAGTACAATAGTATCAATGATTGCTTCTTTCACTATTCACATGTGACCTCTTTTGTTACTGTACTCATGTGATCTTTTTTGCTACTGTACTCATGTGACATTTTTTCCATTTGTCTATTTAAGACAAATCATACACAAACCCAAATCGGGTATCCTCCACTCTCAGTTTCTTCACTTCTCTTCCAAAGCAAAATCCATGTCTGGAGAGACTCCTAAACCAGAGCGCCGGTTTTTGGTGGATGAGTTCGAATATGATGGTGTTATACTATGTTACCATAGTTGGAGAGCTGCTAAACGACTTGTTGTTGATGGAGTCAACCCACCGAAGAGGTATTTCCGATGTCGGATGTACGAGTACGACAATGATAACGGGTGTGGGTTTCACATGGATTGGGACGAGGTAATGTTCCCCGGTTTTTCAGAGTCAGATGATGAAGACAAAACCGAGGAGACCGTGAAGAAATGAAGCGTATCGTTCTGGGCTGTATTGATATTAGTCTGTGTCTTTCGGATATCTGTCTAGTTTTTTTGGATATCTTTCTGTGATCTTCTGATATTTGTTTAAATAAAAAAGGTATTTGTCTGGGCAGTATGGATATTTTTCTGTTCTTTATGGATATTAGTATACAAAAAGACAGATATTTATCCTGCTGCAAAACATCATACCTCCCTAAATATTATCCAACCCTAAATAGCATCCATCCCTAAATATTATCCAAGCCTAAGTTCATGCACATGTGGCTAGTGAAAGAAGTAATCATTGGTGCTATTGAACCTGCTTTTGATAATACTGATATCCAGGAAGCATGGACTAATATCTATGCACACTTCTAATAAATATCCAGATTGCCCAGAAAGGTATCTGTTACAAGTAAATTAATATCCACTTCATCAAAAAAACGTATCCTAGAATCACATGTCAATATCAGATCACAATAGATCACACTCGACCCACCTAACATTATATTCATTACCATTGAGCAATAGTATCATCCAAATCACTAAGATGGTCATCCGGTTGAGTATTGTTGTTCGGCGTGACCGCTTCATTTGATTTCATTCCCTTCCTATAGACACATTTCTTTCGACGGCGTTCCTTTTCATTCTTAGACTGGTAACGTTCCTTACCGTTGCTCCTTGGATTACTCTTCTCCTTCAAAGTCAGCCCAGTTATCGGTATAGACCGTCCTACAATGTTACAATATTTAGTAAATGCAATAATATTAAACTCCAACAATTTACAAATAATATTAGTGAATACACTTACAGTCCTCACTAGTTATAGTATTTGACAATGCCTTGTTTACCTCATTGCACAGTTTCTTGAGTACTCCCATCCACTTATTGTAGTCTTTCTCCTCAGCCATCGTCAGTTTCGTTACTAGTTGATTCAACATTGCAGTGGTTTCTCGGTACCGCATTGCTATACCTTTTTCCGCATCATTCTCACTGTCAGCTGAAGGACCAACACAACCATCGACATCAACAACCACTTTCTTTCTCGCCTCCAACGTCCATCGCTCGAGTATGTAATGATCTGGAATACTTCTCATACTGGCTTCCCCAAAATCTCCAAGATGCCGCATCACTTCAATCATGTGGCGGCATAACACTCCGAAAGTTTTGAACATCCTGCATTCGCATACCAATGTCCTCGTAGAAATATCAACGAGAACGACACGCTCATCACTACGCTCATCATCCTCTATCATATATGTGAGGTAGCCAATCATGCCATCATCCCTAGTATCTGAGAGAGTCTCCATTAGATAGGGTTCAGTTTTCAAATACTGCTTTTGTATCCGATTGAAGATGTTAGGAGTAAAGACCTTTGCCGCATGTTGTAGGATCGGGCTATCCTCCAACATAATATAAGGAACCGATTGTTTCCCATTGTAGTCTGACTCAGTCTCCTTGCGCCTTTTTTCAGCCAACAAACTACATTTACAAAGCACGAGAAAGAATTTAGTGCCCAGACTAATATCCACTCTAACCAATACTAATATCCCAACTACACAAAGTAATATTGTTCCAATAGCATATAAATATCCGGACAACGCTGAAACATATCCAAAACTTAAATAGACTAATATCAAAGAAAGGCAAAGAAATATTCTGCATACCTGCTAAAGTGAATGAAAAACAAGTCCAAATCATGCTTCGGTTTCAAGAAAAGTCGCACTTGTGCATTGCACGACTCGCTGGCTTGCGTAGTCAACATCCTGACTGTGAATTGATCTCTCAACCATAAGGAACACCATCGACGATGAAATTTCTTCAAATATTCCAACAATGGGTGACCGTCCGCAATTTCGCTATTAGGGAAACAATCAGCAACCATTGTTCTCCAGGCTATGCCGAACTCTCTCTCACTGTCGATGTTGTAGAAAATATAAGAAAGATGAGTTTGGAACTTCTTCCAAAATGCCTTGTCCTTACGAAGATGCTTCTTCGCATTCATGAGGATGTGCCAAGTACAGAGGGCATGAAACACAGTAGGCCACTCCTTTCTAAGGGCAGCTGCCATGGCGGCGTCCTGATCAGTAAAAATAGTGATTGGAAGCTTCTTCTTCATGCACCGACTAAAAGCTAAAAACAACCATTCAAAAGACGGTGTAGTCTCATCACACATCAAACAAGCACCAAACACACAAGTTTGACGATGGTGATTGAAACCTACAAACATCCCAGCACAAGACAATTATTAATGACAATGCATAACCGAACGAGTGTCGAAAAAACTTAAGGGAATTAGGAATTGATATTATCCCAAAACAAAACAAATATCTGTAAAACCCAGACTAGTATCTCATAATGCCATACCAATATTCCTCCTTATACAAAAACATATCCTGTCAGGCCATGTCAATATCGGATCATAAGAGACCACTCTTGAACCACCCTACATTTTATTAAATACCATTTCTGTAATATACGTACAAACATCCATGCACAAGACAACTATTAATGACTATCCATAACCAAACGAGTGTCGAAAAATATTAAGGGAATTAGGAATTAATATTGTGCCAACACATGTCAATTTATCTGTAAAACCCAGACTAGTATCTCATAATGCCATACAAATACTCGTCCTTTTACAAAAACATATCCTGTCAGGCCATGTCAATATCGGATCACAAGAGACCACTCTTGAACCACCCTACATTCTATTCAAACATCCATGCTCCTGACAACTATTACTGACAATCCATAACCGAACGAGTGTCAAAAAAATCAAGGCAATTAAGTGATTCACGTACCTAGTGGACGGAAGTATTTATTGGTTCGGAAGGTGGTATCAAATGAGACCGAATCTCCAAAAAGCGCATAATCTTCACGCAGCCTACTGTCTGCCCAAAAAATATTAGCAACTTTCTACTCGCAATCTACCTCTACAGCATAAAAGAAGCCAAGATGCTTTTCCTTTTGGTCCTCAAAGTAGTCAAGCAAATAAGTCGCTTCGCCACAAGCCATTTTCCTTTGCCTTTTACTGTTCAAGTGGTTCTTCTGATCGGATTTGGAAAATTTCAGATTTTGATAGCCACCAGCACAGTCAGCCAATAACTGATATGATGCACTAAGACTCATCCCGGCATCGCGATTAGCTTCGGCCATCTTTTTCTGAGCATCACCCATGCACTTGTTCGACTTGATAAGGTGCGTATGCTCGGTGGAGTGCAAATCATGATTGTGGGCTCCCATGAATTCATACACAACATATCCGTCTCTAGATTCATCCCATCGAAAACGAACACGGGCACTACATCCAACCCTAACTCGAGGCCTCTTTCTTTTAGGACGCTTTCTCTCCACAACTTTGTCTTCGGGCTGTTTTTGTTTCTCCACATCTATTTCGCTAGTGGAAGTCCAACCTTGCTTATTACAAAAGTAATAAAGGTAGAAATAAATTTTCTCCACCTCTCCATTAGAATTTTTCATTTTTCTTTGGTGTTGAGCAGCATTTCGAACACCAAAACCCTTTTCGTGAGCATAGCGTTTATAGAAAGCCAAACACTCTTCCTTAGTCCGATAAATTATGTTCTTCCTCGTTTCCTCATCTTCTAGGTCCGATGTCTTGTGAGCTGAGATTTAATTGTACGAGGCCATGTTAGTATCCACATTTAACTTGCCCAGACAATTATCCAACATGCCCACAATAGAAGGAGACAAAGTTAACTAACTAGAAGGACAAATTGATAAGTTTTCTTAATTATTTAATGTTATTATAATTATATTTATTTTTTTATGAATTGGTTTGGATTTCTATTTCATCAAAAAGGAGACAAAGTCACTTTTTTATGAATTTTTTTGATGAATTGGTTTGGATTTCTATTTCATCACGTCCATAACAATATCCAACATGCCCAGGTAAATATCTTAAGAGTTTACAACGTATCCATGACAACACACAATAATATCTACACCCGAAAACCCAATGAAACAGGAGGTTATACCCAAATTAATATCAACACCATTAAATGACATTCAATGGACACAACAAAACTCAACAACACAAACATATATATAATAGAATCCACCTTCACTTTCTTCTTCTTCTTCTACAATGAAGTCACCCACACCATCTGAGTCTTCATCAACAAATTCATCTATTGTAAGATCGAGTTTTTCTTCTTTTTCTACAATGAAGGCAGGCACATCGTCCAACTCGCCGTCGTCGTCGAAAATCATCCTTTCTAAGAATGATCTGCTCGCCAGCAAGGAGAGGCTCGCCGGAACTGATGCTCGCCAGAACTGATGCTCGCCGGGAGTGACGATCACCAACGACTCTAGCGGTGGTTGAGCAGAAAATTAAAGGAAAAAAGGAGAGAGAGAGGGGTTAGAGAGTGAAAGTGGTGGTTGAGATTATTTAATGCCAACTTCCCCTTTATTGTTCAACAAATATCCCCCCATTCCCCCATTCCTTCTTCAGCAAAATCCCGCCCAAAATTTGTTCAGCAAAGCAAAATGGGCCAAAAATCTGTTTTATGAGCCTTCGGCCCATGGGCCCTCGGCGGGCAGCCCTTACTAGGCTGCAAGCCACCAGACCCAAATCTTCCTTCCTTCTCCAACTTCCCGCCCAAAATTTCGGGCGCCCAAAAAACTGCCCACCTCCCGCCATAAATTTCGGACCGCCCAAAAAACTGCCCACTTCCTCCGCCCAAAAGTTCGGCTCGCCCAAAAAACTGCCCACGGCCTCCCTCCTCTCGGCTCGGCGGATATATGGGTCAGTGAGTATCTACTCACAAAACCCACTGTGAGCAGTTTAACTTTTGCGGCTGCAATGGGTAGTAATTGTGTGGCTTTCCCTCTTAATCAAAGTACAAAACGATGTGATTATACTATTAGATGATTCTCAAAATTTTATCGACTAATCAATACATAATAACTTAATTACTAATAATTATCGATTATCGGTTAACAATTAATCACCGTTATTGATTTGATTGTCAGTTAAAAGTTAAA